TGATAAAATAGAGGATAAAACCTGCTTTTCGACTTCTAGATCCCATTTTGGACTTTTACGTGATCCACCACCTCCTCCTTCCCCCAGCCTTCAGATTAAGTAGTGAGAAGCTACTATCTCTGATGGAATAGTACTAATTCTGTCTATAAACATTTACTCACATGCATATTTCTGCACATGTGTACATTTGCTCATTGCACAAGCAACGATTAGATTGTAAACTCCTTGAGGTCAGTGATTGCCTTTGGTGTCTTTTTTGTATTTCCATTGCTTAGTACAGTGTCTGACACAGAGCAGGAACTTAATGTTTACTTAGTGATTGATTATATACTATGGACAGAGCCCCGTTTTAGGCATTGGAAGCACACAGAGTTAAAACTGGTTAAGTCATATGTGTATAAGTGTGAAAAATCACTTCAACAGTGACTAGGTGTTTTTCCTTCTAATGTGCTGGAGATCTAGCTCAGAGAATAATACAGTTCATGGTAGAGATTAAGATGACAGGATCTGGATTTGGAATAGACTTTAAACATCATCTAATCTATCCTTATTTTTAGATAAGAAAACTGAGAGTCAGAAAGGTCAGGCAACTTAACTAAGGTAATGGCTAACATGTAAGCAGAGACTGAGTTGGTGGATTCTAAATTCAGTTCTCTTTTCATTCTGCCATATACTTCTCTGGTTGCTAGTGGCACACCCATGAGTTGTAGGGAAAACACAACTTTAAGTGAAATGTTATAGAGGGCCATAGTTTCCACTAGCACAATGCCATAAATGAAAAGGCAGGATTCTTGCTGAACATCCTTCCAGCAAGGGGTGTGTGTGTGTGCGCGCTTGTGATTATAATACACTTAACGATGTTACCAGTCAGGGTTGGCCACTCTGATTTTACTTTTAATTCAACCAAATTATGAATTCACATTTATTTGTAATCCCCCAATAGACACAATTCATACTTCGGGAGCCCCAGAAATGGTTCACTGAATTTCAAAGTTGGTGGTGGGTAGAGGCTTTTCAAGGGTCCAGAGGAGCGGTGACAGTGAAAGAGGAAGTATGTAAATCTAGCAGACCTGGGAAGAGCACTTCTATCAGGGAAGAGAATAATATTTACATCTATATTGCACATTTAAATCAACAAACATTTATAAATCATCAATTGTACACATTCACACAATAAATGTTAAATGCCTACTGAGTGCATATCATTGTATGAAACATTGAGAGAGAAAAAATTTCAGATAAGACAAAATCTGTCCTTACACATAGTCTAGAAGAGAGTACATATACAAATAACAATAAAATAATATGAAGTGTGATTAAAGCATCAGAGAGGCACAAAACAAAGTATTATTATGTAAGGTTTAGGGAGAGGGGAGGCTAAGGTTCACAGAGCATTTTTTTTGGTCCGTTATTTCACTTTATGATGGTCTTCACAATAACCTTTTGAGGTCGATAAAGGATTGTAGTCCCATTCTAAAGATGTGTAAACTTAGGAGAGCTGAAGTGAGTACCTTTGCCCACAATCACGTGGCTATTAAGTGAAAGAGACCGGAGGTATTTTGGTTACAAGTCCTGGAATTTTCTCACTACATCAGATGATTTTTGATGATCTTCAGTAAACATCCTCAATAGTTTGTCTAGCTGCAATGGATGAGGAAAAACTTACTGTGCGGAAGGTCTCTAAGAGTTTAAAGACTGTTAAAAATGAATGGGTTTTTAAGAATGGGATGGTTTTAAAGCGGGAGTGAGGAGAAAAAAAGTTATTTCCTCTTTGACTAGAAAGATTGAAAAAATTGGCTTCCCTCTTCCCTTCCCTTCTGGCGCCTTTGCTCCTTATCCTGCTCTTCCTTTCCCTGCTCAGCTCATGTTAGAGATGAATCATGTGATGTTCCCATCAGCCAGCGGCGGGAAACTGGTGGATTTCCTACAGTGACCCGAAGTGAAATAGGTTTAAATTCAAGCTGTGTTGACTGCTAGCTTCAGGGACTGGGCCTTCCCTCTCTTAACTCATCCTACTCCTACCTCCAACCCAGACAGTCTCCCTTGGACTGGGGTAGGGCCACTCAGCAGTAGCCACAGCAGGGTTGGAGAGAGGGTTCTTCCAACATCTTTTTTGCAGAAATATACTGGGGCGGGGGGAATGGGAGAAAAGAAGAGAGGTGAACCGATGGGGAAAGGTTTTTTTCTTTTCGTCAAAGTCAAAACAGGAAGGAATCAGCAGCTTAGAATTTGCCAATACCACCTCCTCTTTCTCTCTCTCTCTCCCCTACACCAGCCAGTGCCCCCCCACCCCTTCCCACCACTCACTCCATCCCTTTCCAATCCATCACATCACCCCTCCCCTGCATCCCATCTTCCAGGCAGCACGCGCTGCGAGGGCCAGAGGCGGTCCTTAGCCAATGGGACTATGGCAGGACGTGATGTCAGAGGAGGCTGTAGAAAAGGCGCGCAGGCTTGTGCTCACCCGGACTGCAGAGCTGGGGTAGCTGCTTAGCTCGCACTTTAAGGGGATTGCTCCAAGCAGGTCCAGGCAGCGGCAGAGATCCCGGCTCCTCCTCCTCTTCTTCTTCCTCCTCCTCCTCTTCCCTCCTACTTCCCTCCTCCTCCCTCGCCATTCATCCTCCTCCCCACCTCCTCTTCTTTTCTCTTGATCTGCTTCGTCCTCCTCCTCTTCCTCCTCCTCCTCCTCGTCCTCGTCCTCCTCCTCCCCTTCCTACCCCTGCTCCTCCCCAGTTACTCAAGCGTCTCTGATCGCCCATCGTAGAGGGCCAGCTACTTTAGATCAGCCAGAGGCACAATAAGCAGAGCAGGGCGCATTTGGAGACGCGGGACACTTGGGGTGGGGGAGAGGGAGTCGCTTTTGGAAAAGGGGCTCATCTTTACCTTCATCCCTTGACTCTCTATCTCTTGCCTGCCTTTCGGTATTCCCTAGCTCCTCCTCTTCCCTCCCCTCCCCCCGGAGAGGCACCGGCAGAGTTTGAGGAGGTAGCCCAGCCTCTCAGACTTTGCGACCTTCTTTCTGGCTTCGCGCAGCGCCCATAGCCGAGGGCTCTGTCCCCTGACCCCTAGGCCAAGCGACAATGCCAGCCGACTGAGGCCGCTCAGAGGGGGCGTTGGCCGTTCTCCTACTCCCTGGGTCTCCGGGCTCTACATCTAACCACCGCTTCCGAGCCTCCCTTTCTCCCCAGTCTCCCACAGCTGTGCCCCTCAGTGACCGAGAGCTTTAGCTATGTAGGTGCCCCGGCCTGGGGCACGTCCGGGAGGGGACTTGGGCAGACCATGCGCAAAGAACCGCTCCCTTCAGCTGGCTGCTCCAAGCGGCGCTGACAGCCCGGGGGGCTGAGGGGAGCTGGGCTTGGGCGGGGCTGGGCTGGGGCGAAGGAGAGCCCAGCCCGGGAGGCGGTGGGAGGAGGGATGCGCCTGGCCCGCTAACATTCCCGAGTGCAGGGCGAACCGACCCCCGGAGGAATTCGGGTCCAGGGTGAGCCCCCAGCACTCGTGGGCCAGCCAGCCGCCTCCCACCTTCCCTCCACCCCCAGCCTCCCGCGGCGCCTCCAGCTCCCTCTCCCGCGTCTCAGCCACAGCCTCCTCCTCGTTTTCCTCCTCTCTCCGGCCCGGGGGCCCGGCCCCGCCGAGATGCTCTTCCACAGCTTGTCGGGCCCCGAAGTGCACGGGGTCATCGACGAAATGGACCGCAGGGCCAAGAGCGAAGCGCCAGCCATCAGCTCAGCCATAGACCGGGGCGAGACGGAGACGGTAGGCGCACGGGCTGAGGAGGAGGGAAAGGGGTGTATGCGGAGGGGAGCGAGGGCAGGACAAGATAGGGAAAAGGGGAGGCTGTGGGGCAAAGGAGGGAGACGATATCAACCCAAATGCTGATTCCAGTACTTCTGCAACCGCCGCCCCCCCCCCCCACTTGCCGAGGACTGCCAACAGGAGAAGGCAGATCAACCACTTCATCCCTGTGTTTGCTTTGAGGGATCCGGGAGGAAAGGGCTTGAGGGGATGGCGCAGAAGGGAAGAGGCTTTGACTGGGAGTAACGATCTCGGGGTTGGAGTGAGTGTGTGGAGAGACGCGGGGCTGGAGATTCCCACACCTACTCCTCTGGGTGCTCTTCGAAGTTTTGGGGAAAGTGAGCTGTGTACTTTCCGGAGCGCCCTTCGCTGGGCCCGGGGTTCAGAAACCCAGGCTGGAGCGGCAAGGAGCCGAGCCCTCAGCAACATTCTCTCACCCCAGGGCGGAGGGCTTTCTGTTGGGCTGCGGCTCCCTCCTAGAAAGGAGATGGAAAACGAGAAAGAAGGACACGAGAGAAAGAAACGCCTAGCATTTCTCCCGATATGGGAGAGCCAGGGGCCCAACTGGGCCCAGGACAAGGACTACCTGCCTCCTTTGGGTGGCATAGGGTGAAAGGGAGGGTAACACCCGCCCTCTTCCCCACCTTGGCGTCCCCCTAGTTTGGTTTGTGCCCAGCGCTCAGCCCTCCTTTAATTCTTGTCCTGGGGCAGCCCGAGGGGCCTTGGTCCTTGTGGCAGCCAGGACCCGGGTTTTGGAGGAAAGAAATAGCCGGCACAATCCGCCGTCAGTTTGTGTCCTCCGCTCGGCTCCAGACTCCGGGCTCAGGGCTCCGGGCTCCGGGCTCCGGACTCCGGGCTGTAGGAGCTTCCCTGGCTTCTTGCCTTTTTTTTTTTCCCCCAGCCCCGCTCCCTTTAGCCTCCAGCCTCCAGCCACTGCGTGGAATCGGAGGGGCAAAACCGGGCTTACTATTCGCGCAGAGGACTGATTACTTCGGGGGCGAGGGCTTCGTTGTCTGTCTTTCGGCGCCTTCTATCCCAGTCTCGGGGGTCTTGGGTTTGGGAGGGTGTGTGTCTGTCAGGGGTGTGTGTGGGGGGTAGACAAGCGCCGGGCGGTTGCCACCTTTCTTCTTTTTCCAGCCCTGGAGGGGGGAGCCCCAAAGTTGGGCGGCAGCGTTTGTAAAGGGCACCCGCCCTTCTCCTTGGGGCCCCAGATGCGGCTTGGGGTTCTGGGCTGGCCCAGGCCGCGGGATCCCAGGGTTTCCGACAGGCCGGCAGGCCCCTTCCCAGTCCCCAGAGCAGGCCAGGCCCAGCGTCCGGCTCGGGCATGACCTTTGGGGAGAGAAAAATAACCTGGCCCAGCTTTGCGATTTCTCTGCGGAGCTATGCCTGGATCTCGGGCAAGGCGGCCTTCTTTTTCCCAGTGCTCATTCTTATTAGACAAAATAAATTAAAAGACTCCACGGGGTAGGGCTGGAGCTGTGGGCCGAGAGAGCGGGGACATTTTGAGGTCTGTCTATTCCTCCTCGCTAGAACTTGTTGCCCCTGGGCACTGGAAGGGGTCTTTTACCGGGCAGAGAGAGCTCTGGGGAAGGAGTTGCGAGTAGCGGACTGTTGTTGGTCACGGAACCGCTGTCGTTGGGGTGACAAACCCCTTAGCCGGCCTCCTGTGAAAGCCGGACCTTTCTGTGGCGGAAAAAGGTCTGATCTGGTAATGTGTGTGTAGGAATGGGTGGGTGAGGAGGAAGGTCCCACGAAGGTGCTGTCTCAGCTATAGGGCCTAGGGATTTGTGGTTCACTTGCAGTAGGAGAAAGCGGGTCAGGCTATATTTCTCCAGGTCCTGGTCTGAATGCAAACGCCCGATTCACATTGGCGATATTAGCCTGACTCCTCTCTATCACCGGACTTCCAAAGCCGTGTGGGGCTCTCTGTATTTTCTCTCTCTCTCTCTCTCTCTCTCTCTCTCTCTCCTCTCTCTCTCTCTCTCTCTCTCTCTCTCTCTCTCTCTCTTTAAATCCAGGGTTGGGGAGAGGGAAGGGAAGAGGAAGAAAAACCGCCCCCAAAAGAGTTTAAGAAAATCAGTCTGGAGATCATGATGTTTCGGGGAACACAAGCTCTTTAAATACCCCCTTTGAAGTCACTCGTGAGACCCAGGAAAAAACATTTTATGGAGGGGGGGTGCTTCACTCCCTCCACTGGTTCCTCTCTTACCCCCTGCCATCCTCCAGTATAGGTCGAGTTAAAGACCCCAGCCCCAAAGCCATCCTGGAGAAAGGGAGGGGGAGGGCGAGCGAAAGAGGGAGGGAGGAAAAGAGAAAGGGAGGGAGAGGGCGACTCTGAGAAAGGGGGGTGAGGGGGAGGAAGGAGAGGGCGAGAGCTAGCGAAGGCGATTGGGAGGGAGAGATCTGGAGTGAGAGGGGAGGAGAGAGACCCAGAGACTGGGACCAGGGCCGAAGAGGAGGCAGAGGTCGCGAGCAAGGCGCCGCTTTGGGGAGTCTGGTTTCACGCCGGTTACGAGGTGGGGGTTGGGGTCCTTTTCACCAGCCCCGGGGTAAAAGTTTCTCTTTCTTTGGGCCCATCGGCCTTACTAAACTGTAGGGTACCTTCCCTCCTTTTGGGGAGACAGTGGAGAAGAGGGCAGCGTTTGGAGCAGGAGCGGTGGTAGGTTGTAGTGAGGAGGCGTGCTCTGCCCCGGGGAGAAAAGATCGGGGTAGCCGCCTTCAGATGACACCGACCCTGGCTTGGACTAACTGTGCCCTCTTTTCCCCACAGACCATGCCGTCCATCAGCAGTGACCGGGCCGCGCTCTGCGCGGGCTGCGGAGGTAAGATCTCCGACCGCTACTACCTACTGGCAGTGGACAAACAGTGGCACATGCGTTGCCTGAAGTGCTGCGAGTGTAAACTCAACCTGGAATCGGAGCTCACCTGCTTCAGCAAGGACGGCAGCATTTACTGCAAGGAAGACTATTACAGGTACCGGAGCTGGCGACCCATCCCTAGCCGAGCGGGGTGAACTCAGCCCGGCCTGAGCTGCCCTGGGGGAGCGGATGTGGGGGATGTTTCTTTCTGAAACGAAAAGGGGGGGGTGGGGATGGACTCCTTAAAGGATGGACAAAGGCAGAGTCCCTCCCTTCCTTGCCCCACTTGGAAGTTTAAATGAAACTAAGAAGAAGCGTCTCCCTTGGCCTCCACTCGCTTCTCCCTTTAGTCTCAGGAGACTGAGGAGTAGGCATCCTCCACCCTTCTTCCCCGCCATATTTGAACTTAGCGTTGGAGGCGATGGGAGATCCTTGGGAAAAGGTTTCCAGAGATTTCTGGATCGATCAGAGTGATTGGGAGCTGCCGGGTGTGGACAGAACAGAAAATAAATTTAGATGGAAAAATCTCTCTCTCTCTCTCCCCCTCCCTCCCTCTCTCCCTCTCTCCCTCTCTCCTCCTCCTCCTCCTCTCTCTTCTCTCTTTTCTCCTCTCTCCTTTCATTTTTCCCTCTCACTTGATGTTTAGGGTCTTCCATTTTGCTGTTATTTTTTTTAAATCATCTTTCTCCTTTTACTTTCTGTTATATTCTCTCCATCTTTCTTTTTCTGGCTCTCTCAAATTCTCTCTTGTTTCAGGGGTCTGTGTTGCTCACTGGCAGTGGCGTGGGAGGTGCTGGGGGAGGGTGGGGGAAGGGCAAGGGCATGTGACAAGTCCCTTGGTCCCCGGTGTTGACAACTTTGAGTAGGGCAGGAGTGGGAGCTAACTGGGGGTTCTCTTGGAGAAACAAGGAGCTTTCTGGTGAAGGCAGGTAAAGATGGGCGTGTTAGGTGTCATAAGGAGAGAGACTGGGGAAAACTAGGACACTTGGTCCAGGGTAGGGAAAGACTCTTGGAACCCAGTACTTTGCAGACTTTAAGGCCTACTTGGTCCCAATAGTCTACTGGATAAGAGTGAAGAATCTGACGTTGGGTGGAACTCGAGGGGAGTGGGGGCGGGGAGCGCGAAGGATTTGATCAGACGGATAAGGAGTAGAGGAAGCCACCTTCCCCAAATAGTTTTCCTTCTCTCCTTACCCCAGGCGGTTCTCTGTGCAACGCTGTGCCCGTTGTCACCTGGGCATCTCAGCATCAGAGATGGTGATGCGCGCCCGGGACCTGGTTTACCATCTCAACTGCTTCACCTGCACCACGTGCAACAAGATGCTGACCACAGGCGACCACTTTGGTGGAATGAAGGATAGTCTGGTCTACTGCCGGCTGCACTTCGAGGCGCTGCTGCAGGGTGACTACCAGGCCCACTTCAACCACGCAGATGTGGCGGCGGCGGCGGCAGCTGCAGCAGCAGCCGCAGCCAAGGGCTCGGGTTTGGGCGCCGGCGGGGCCAACACCTTGGGCCTCCCTTACTACAATGGCGTGGGCACAGTGCAGAAGGGGCGGCCGCGGAAACGCAAGAGCCCAGGGCCTGGGGCGGACCTGGCGGCCTACAATGCAGGTAAGAAGCGCGTTTCCCCGGCTTTCCTAGCCCCCTAGAGGTCTGACTTCCTCGGGGGAGGCGCAGCTCAGTGAAGTGGGGGACAGTAGTTATTGGGAGGGCGAGGGCTCTGTGACTGTGTCTGCTGGTGGGCCTGTCCAGATGGTCCATGACTGCAGTTCCTTAAGACACTCCAACCACCTATTTCCACCTTGCCCCGCCTTGTTCCCGTACCTACTTTAACCCCTTGGGATTAAATGGGACGCGTTAATTTCTTGACCTCCTCACCTTAACTGCCCTTTCGCTTCTGTCCTCTGGGACATGGGTGGGTGGGTGGGGGCTCAGCACCTCAAAGCTATGGGAACTTATTATGAATTGGTCTTGGAAGTTGTTTGGCTTTTGGTCTCCCGCCCCAACCCCCAATCCCCTACCCGAAACCCCCATCATCTGGAAGGAGGGAGTTTGGAAGTGAGGTCATCTGGTTAAGGAGAAAACAGGAGGGGGGACTTTTCATGATTAGTGGGTAAAAGGAGAGAAAAGAAGGGTAGCTGGAACTGAAATCTGGAAGTCAGGCGGAGCTTGTAAATTAGCACTTCCGAGGGCTGGGCTGTGAATTCCCTTTGGTAGCTCGCCTAGGAGGGGGTCACGTTAGCCCGGGCTTCAAGGGCCGGCCCTGGTGAGGGAAGCCAGGTCTGGGAGCTGCAGAGGGCCGGGAAGTTCGGGGGAGCAGGTGCGGGAAGCTGGAGGGGAGGGAGCAGAAAAATGTGGCTAGAGTTGAAAGATGAGGGCCAGAGATGGTAAATTCTCACTTTCGAGGACCAGAAATCCTTTCTGGGGATCTCGCAAGACAACGTAGTATGCTGGCTGCCTGCGGATGCCTGAGCCCCCGCAGGAGCAGCCGGGGCAGGGAGCTGCAGGGGCTCTAAGAGCCTGGCGCCGAGCGGGGGAGCAGGTGCCTGGGCTGGGGGTTAAGGGAGCGAGAAGTCTAGCTGGAGCTGAAATCTGGAAACCCGAAATGTGAAGCTCAAGTTTCCGAGGGCCAAGGACTGATTTTGGTTTTTCGCTTTTGGGGAGTGGGTTGCGGAAGGGAGCGGCAGAGCGGCCGAGGCCCAGGCCACGATGGGGGAGCGCGACTTGGGAGCTGCAGGAGCCAGTGGCAAGCTGAGCGCTGAGCTCGGGAGCAGGTGCCCGGGGTGGAGCGGGGAGGGGTGAAGAGGCCCAGGCTGGGGACTCAGACCTGGAGCCAGGCGAACCTCGAGGCAAGGCCTGGTTAGCGTAAGGCCTGGGAAGGACAGGGTCGAGCTTGGGTGGAGAGAAGCCGAGACTTAGTAAGGCACTAACAAGATAGATGACAGCGAAGGGTCTTCCGGCCCATGCCCGTGAGGGGCAGGGGGGAGGCGACAGAAGACTGTGAGGAGTAGTGGACCACAGGCTGGCAACTGGAGGTGGGGCGGGGGGAGGCGGCGGATTTAAACGTAAGAAATTCGACCTTCCCGATGACCATCTGGTGGTGAAGGCGGAAGGGATCACTTTGCGGGATTTGGCGAATTGGGGGGAGCAAAAGGCTCCAAATCAGTGATGTAGAGAGGGAACCATCCTGTTTCCCATTCTCAACCTCGGCTGGTTTTACCAGCTGCCCCCTCAGCTCAGGCTCCGAGTCTTGCCGCCTCACTCCCCTTGCCCTAAGATCAGCCCCCCGCCGTCTTCACCCGCTCTCCGCGGTACCTGAGAAACCAAAGTGCCGGGAGCACTGAACACTTTTCTCCTACACTGCGGAGCTATTGCCTGGTACTAAGTGGGAACGTATTCCCCGAAATGTGGGACCAGGGAAGCGGTGGGACTGGTCTGATTCCGTACCCCTAGCTCCAGGAACGAACTGCAGGGTGTTGGAGATGGGGAGAGATGGCAAAGGTAGATCCTCAACAGTTCAACTACAACTCCCATTTCTCTAACCCTTTATGGTTTTTAAAGCTCTTCCTTCGCAACGCTAAGATAGGAAGTGCAAGGTTTTATTATCCCCATTTTTGCTCATCAGAAAACAGGTCCGGGGAATAGAAGTGACTCGACCAAAGTCACATAGCTAACAAAAATTGTGACTCGAACCCAGGTTTTCTGGGTGCATCATTCTTTCCGCTCTATGCGTCTCCCCAGTGGAGAATCCCAGAGGTCTCGGTTTAGTCTTCCTACTTTCAGAAGGTACTTCCTTCTCTCTTCCCTAATTTTTGCAGGGCTCGGCCTTTCATTCTGCTCCCCACCTCCCCAACTCCTCCTGCTACCTTCCTTTAGAAGGCAGATGTTGAGGTTCTGAGAACTAGTAAATTAAACCGTCGACATCTGCCTGAGGTATGGACAAGCCCGGAAAGCTTTACGATTCCCCCTGGCTTCCTAAATAGATAGAGTTTATTTGCAATTATTTTTTATTTCGTCTTCGAGATAACCGGCTCCGGGAAGTTTTTGTCTTCCTTCTCTCAGTCTGATGTACAACTGCAAACAAAACTATCTTTTCAGCTATCTTGGACGGTGGGAGGTGGGGGGCGGGGAAGCGGTGTTAAGGCGGGTTTACTTAGATTAAAATGTGATGAAGCACATCTGTATAGATGATCTATGTTCAGCGATGATTTTGAAGCTTTATCACGCCATCGAAGAAATGGAATGGAGAGAAATGGGTTGGACAGTTGGTGGGGTTTTTTTTTAAAGAGGGGGGAGGAGGATGAATTTCGTGTGCCTCTGTTTGAAATATTAAACCCAGAATCAAAATCCGTGAATCTTGAATGCAAAGAACATGGATTTGGAAAATTGAAGGGGGGAGGGGTTGCTTTTTTTTGTTTGAGTGTTATAGGTTTGACTGGGCTTCTTTCTCTCACTGAGCTTGGTGTTTTTCCCTTCTCCGTGAGGATGAAACCTAAGCTGCCTCCTGACTTTCTCAGATAAAACTCAAATCTGTATATGTTTATAAACAGTTCTAAGTATGGACAGGTTGAGGTGGAAGTTAGGACCAGTTACTGAGATCACTATTCCCTTCGGGTGGCGGGTGTGTGTGGTGGTGGGATTTCCCCCCCCCCCCTTTAAGGTAGGTGGGGGCGGGGAGGAGCAATTGGAGCCGCGTTGAGAATTAAATTGTAGAGTAAATGGGAGAGATTTTTTTGCTTCTTCCTCCCACCTCCCCCCCCCCCCCGGCTGGTATCTCAGTGAGGTAGAAGACTGGCTGGCGGGTTTGAGATGTGGATGAAGGCTGACAAGTGGAGAATAGCTTAGAAGGAAGCCAAGACTTCAAAAAGATCTATTCTTCCCCCCCCCCGTCCCTCGTCTCCCTCCCCCCCTCCCTTCTTTCTCGTTTCTTTTTTTTTTCACCCTTAAAGAGTTTGCTGCCCCTGTTGTCGCTCATCCTCCTTCACTTGTTGAAAAGGAATGAGATGCTGGAGGATAGTTTTGAATTTTTGTTTTGTTATCTGGGGGGGGCGGTGGGAGAGGTGGAAGAGGGACTGCTGAATTGATGTTTGAACGTGGGGCCACTTTTCAGTGTTTCCCAGGAAAGCGGCATCTCTGCAGGTCTGCCCTAGACTCCCTCGATTCAGAAGATTTTTCTTTCTGCGTTTTAGTTTCTGTCCCCTTTTGGAGGCCTAATGGTTTAGTGGAAAGACTGCAGAGCTTGGAGTCAGGAGTTTCGGATTGGGATTGGGGCTCTGACATTTCCTTTCTGTGACCTTGGACAAGAAAACCTGTTTTCTTATCTATGAAAAACGGGATACTACTTCCTTGCTTCACGGGAATGTTCTGAGGAAAGTACTTTGTGTCTTACAATGTGATAGAAACGTGAGATGAGTGTTAGTATTATGTCTATTCCTATTTGCATGAAAGAAGCTAAAAAGTACCCAGAAAATGAGTGGGGAGAGATATGACCGTCAGATTAGCAAGGACTCTGAGCAGTCAATGTCTCTCCTCACTCCTAGCGTCAGCCAAAAGCTCATTCGAGTGGTGAAGAGACTTTAGACAGGCAAGTGATTCTGGGAGCTTGGTTTGGAGCAGGAGGCCCTAGTCAAGGAAAGAATGAATTCAGAGAAGCCCAAATATATAGGTTTACCTGGATGATGACACAAGGTCACTTAGTCCAGCAGGGGTCTCATTATGTAGTGGAAAGGGCTGAATTTAGAAAACAGGGACGAGTTAAAATCCAAAAGTTGACACTTACCCAGATGTTATGATTTGTGGGCTAGTCACTTCTTTCTAAGCCTCAGTTTCTTCATTTGTGAAATGAGAAGGGAGGCTCTACCTATTCCCAGGACCATTTGGAAGAAAGTGTTTTGTAAACTTTGTCGATATGGGAGTCCTTAATCCCTACAGGAGCAAATCTAGGGCGAGGTGGCAGCCTGCCTGAAGCTATGGAGATAAATGTATATGTATATATATTATATGTATATGAGGTCCTTGGCCTGTAGTCTGTGTGTGTGTGTGTGTGGGGGGGTCTCCTTAGTTGTCTGAAGCTATCTTGGAAAATCAGGCTGAATGATTCAAATCAAGTGTGATGACCTAAATTTAAATTTGGTCTCTGCTACTTGCTACCTGTGTAATCTTGAGCAAGTCACTTCCCCTCTTTGGTTCTTCATTTCCCTCTATGTAAAAGAGGCTGGGCTAGAATGGTCTCTAAAGTTCCTTTTCAGCTTCACATTTTACGATCCTATAGATCTAACTCTTGTTAGGACCAGGTTTGTCAAGGGCACAGTAGTCCCACTTACCCTTCGGAGTTTGCACAGAAATTCATCAGAAACTCTTCTTTTCTATCTCCCCCCACTGTTCTGATAGTGTGGGTAAAGCATGAAAAAGGGCAGGACCCTTGTGGCCCAGCTCCTCAGAAATCTCTCCAGCTCTCCCCCCTCCCTTTTTCTGGGCCCCAACGCGGGCAGGGGGAAAGGGGCCTGCCTGCGCTCTGGGAGGTGGTGGGGGTTGAGGGGAGGGTTATGGGTTGGGCGATTTTGGCCAGACCCCGGGGGAGGCCAGGAAGAAGAGAGGGAAGGCTGGGGGGT